CAATTGATCATCTTATTTGTGTTACTAAGCACGAAGGGAAACGACCGAGTATAAAAATTTAAATACGTTAGATCTGAGAAGGAGTGTAGATTTCACTTTTTATTTTAATTAAAAATTTTAATTATATGCAGTAAACCGTTGTCCGCAAATATACAGTAAATAAGTTTAACATTGTTGCTAAATTTTAAAACCACTGGATTTTAATGAGAGCAAAGAAACACTTGGAAAATGCTAAAAACTGTCTTGCATGTAAACAGTTAGATACCCCGAGCCTGCTCTAAACAAGTTTAAGCAGTGAGTTATCGTTCATAACACCGCCCCTAGCGGCAGTTGAAAGGCCTATATATAGCCTATAGAACTCTCTATATGAATTGGGCGTACTTAAGTACATAACTTAAAAATAGAACTCAAAGGACGTTGCAATGCAGTGTTACCTTTTACATATAAATGCATTTTCAGTTCCGGAAAGTCTTAACATTACTGCGTTGGCTGAAGCCGAATGCAGCCAAAATGGCACACTACAAAAGAACTATTTAAAATCATACTATTTCACTAATAATTATTTATCTAAGCATGAAAATATTTCCGTTTGTTACATATTCTTACACGATCGAACTGGCCGCTGTATTTCTATGTTCTGACGACCGTTCACAGTAGCTCAGTCGGTAGAGCGCTCGCTTCGTGATCGGGAGGTCATGAGTTCGAATCTCGGCTGCGACTGACCTAAGTCGATAAAAAATGGGTAGCAACTGTTCCTTTGTCATGCGCTCGGCACTTTGAAGTGAAAGTTGCGGGTCCTTCGGATGAGACCTTAAAAAACCGAGGCCCCTTGTCAGCGGCAGGCGTTGCCACGATAAAGATCCCTCACTGCTCAATAGCCCTGAGTGCCGAGTAAAGGTCAATATTTGAAACCCTTCACCGGCATACGGTGACGTCTCCAAATGAGTGAAAAATTCTCAAGAGGGACGTTAAACAATATACACAATCAATCAATCTATGTTCTGACGCGCAATGACCTAGAAGTTGATACATGTAGTTTACCTCTCTCCAACATCCATGTTTAGCAGTCTAGTGTATAGGGAATATCTGTGTATAGTGAACGAACAATGATCGTTGCTGATAATAATCTAGCTATTTCATAAGTTCTTAAAATATTTGAAGTCAAAAGCAGTTGTATTCGCCTGTTTTAGTTTAGAAATCAAATCCAACCTATGTATAAACAATAGATAATATAGACAATATTCTATTTCCAATCAAGCCCCCCCCCCCCCCCCCCCAGAGAGGCATGAAAGATACATAAGTAGACAAAGGCTCTACAATATCAATAAAGAAATAAAGAGATAAATAAGAAAACTGTGTAAAAGTAAATCATAGGAATCGAGTTATTATAATGTCATATTAAATGATTGGAAAGGTAAGACTTTCATATTTTCACATGTAATGATCCAAAAATATTTTTGAGAACTATCTAAGCTATTACATCTTTTTCTTGCAGACCATTTTATGCTGATTGCTTTAGAATGAAACAAAAATTGTTGCATTTAGGGAATAATTTTCATCTGAAGACTTGAGGTGAGTAGAAATGAATTGGCCTATGTGTGTGTTATGAATATTGTAATGTCTATTAATTAAGCATATGATAATGTCAGCATTAAAGTGAAAACCCAACATTAGGCCTAGGCTTAGATCATACTCAGAATTCCTTATTATATAAAATTGAGAATTATTTCATATTAATATTTCATATTTTTGTCAAGGTAGGATGGTACTTGTCTATCATTGAAAGCTTTTGAATATCATACACTCTCAAAACATAGGGAATCGTAGGTCTATGTATAAAACATATGGACATATATATATATATATCCATGCAAACTCCTCCCCTTGTGAAATTAATATAAATTTAAGATATTGGAAAACTAAAATTTTGAACATGAATCAATCGACAACTATTTCGTTTGAGATATTAAACTTCACATGAGTTAACTACAACGAGCAAATATTCTTCAAGCACTTGGTTTTTCTTTGGTTGGTGTTTACATCCTTGTGGGAGGCAAACAAAAGCATCGAAAGTTGTACGAAGTATGTAAGTACGACGTAAGTGGTGCGTAATTAAATTTCGGCGTTTCATGAAAGCGTCTTTATTCGTGTTGCGTCGTACGTAACGACGTAATATTACGTCACCTCTGAGGTGACATAAAATTACGTCGTAGCGTGAGTACTTGAAAATTGAAGATAGCAGCGTTTTTGCGGGTGCACGATGTAGTTTCTCGGAAAAGATTGAAGCGACAGCGTATATTTTTAGAGACAGGTCGAATCCACATTGTGACGAAATTACTAAAAGGTAAGACCTTTCATGGGATATTAACAACTTTAACCTTTTCACATTGACCTTGGAGATTTCCGTACTTATGAAAAATCTTTAACTCTTAAACAGTAAGGGTTAGGACTTTCATACTTTACTTGTGTAATCCTTGTGAGAAGTTCTTTTATTGGATACCAAGAACTTTGACCTTCTGAACTTGACCTGACCTTTGAGTTTGACCCATTTTTCAAAAATCTTAACCTTGGCCGTAACTTTTGAAGGGTTAAGGCTAGGGCTTTCTTACTTCAAATATGAAATGCTTGTGACAAGTCCTTTCATTGCATTTACACCCTTTGACCTTGAACTTAAAGTTTGACCTACTTTTTTAAAAACTTCAACCTTGGCCATAACTTTTGAATGGTAAGAGCTAGGGCTTTCATACTTTATATAAGTAATCCTTCTTATCCTATTTATAAGAGTTCAGTTATTTCGTTTAAAAATATATGATTAAAAATATTTTTCTATTTTTTTTAATAATCTTTTAAAAAAATCACTTTTGCAAATATTCACGACAATCGAATAGTACAAATAAGAATTAAACTAATTTTGTGTATTACCGCCTGTTGTTGGGTAATTATTTAGAACAATATCACTTTTAAAACACAGAGAAGGTAGTCTAATTTTTTGATGAATTAAGCCTGTGTGTTATGGTCTGTGTATTGTTCAGATGTAATACACAATCCTCCACTGTTCCATGTCACTTCAAAATTTAGTTTTAATTTAATAATAAAAACGAGGTGTTCTACTTAATTACTCGTCTTACAAAATTGTGATTTAATTTTGCATAAATTAATAAGGCTCAGGTTATTCTGAAAAAGGTTACACAATTATTCCCTGGAGATTCACTGCATACAGTAGAAAAAGGTTATAAAAATGCCATTTAACATACGCCTATGTCTCAACCGAATAATAAAGCGTATTCAATTTTGCATAAAATATGTCTCAATAACTGCCCATAAAAACACCATTCCGAATCTGATGGGATGGTCATTAAAATATCTATTCAGAATACGGAAAATATATGGACTGACAGAATTACAGCCAGACAAGCCGACAGACTTTGTAAATACTATAAGTCACCAGGAAATTCTTACAGGTCCGATTTTTCTTAATTAATTCCTTGAAAAAGAATAGAAATTAATTTCAATTACTTTTTCGGAATGCATTGCAAAGTTATTCTTCCCGAACCAGTAGTAAAATTTTAAAATGTCGCATTTAAATCAACATGCTTTGCTGTTTATTTACGTTTGAACCACGTGTCGTTGTGTTTCATAATAACGATAACTTTATTAAGTAGATTCTTACTATTTAATTTACAAAAGATCATCGATTTAAAGAAGAAAGATCAATACAACGGGATATAGAAAATTAATTCATAAGTAGAATAAACTCAACTTTATCATACATAAAAAATGTTAAAAATATCACAAGTTGTTTGCAGAGGTTCTACATCGTGTTTAAAATCTGCATAAAAAATACCCCTAATGGAGTTTTATGAACAGACTTACGATAAAAACGAAAACCTATTATCTTTAGTTTATAAAAGTTGATTATAAATTCTACTTCAATATTCATATAATTAATTTCAGATGAAAATCAGATGTCTACGCTCTTTTGTGGACTTCTTTGCCGGTTATTCCTTAATATACACCATAGGGAGACTCAATATCATATTTTGTCTTTTTTTTTTTCATATTCAGGCAACGTTGTAATCAGGTTTATTCATAAGAAATTGATTGATTTTATGTTGTTTTACGTCCCATTACAGAATATCTCACTCATATAGAGACGTCACCATATACTGCTGAAGGGCTTCATATTCTGACCCTTAACCAGCACTCAGGACAATTATGCAAGGAGAGATCTTTATCATACCAACGCCTGTTGTAAGACAGGGCCTCAGTTTTTTAAGTATCACCCAAATATTAAAGGACCAGCAATTTTAACTTCAAAGCGCCTAACGCAAGGCGAAGGAACAGTGGCTAACTATTTGTTTTACATCTAGGTCAGTCGCAGCCGAAATTCGAACTTACGACCTCCCAATTCCGGTACCAGCACTATACCAACTGACCTACCGTGAACGGTATATTAACTGGCAAGATAATGAAAATGTTTCTATATATATATATAGCGTTTGTAAATGTTTTACTCGTTACTTTCAGTTGTGAGAGTACGTCAGTATGAAAACAACGTGACCTTAACTATTGATGATATTGATTTGATAAGGTCACATTACAAGGTGGGAAAGAAACGGACAGAAAATAGGAACCAACAACCCGAAATTTCACATCTTTCTGGATCTTCCAAACGTAATCTCATTCATTATCCGGTCCGTGATATCACAGTCAATGACAGCGCCACCTATCAGTGTATATTGAAGTCCAGAAGTACGATGGAGAGAACTTACTGTACTTGGTTGGTACAAAGCTTGAATACTATTCGTTATCTCCACATCCTTCTTGTAGTGGTTTGAATGTTATGACGTCATATATAACAATACAATTTGTTCAAATAATGTTAATATCTAATTGCTGTGTTTGCTTAGTGTTCATTTTCCCTTCATTTCAGAATTTTTTCCAATCAAATTAGTTGGACCCGCATTCCAAATAAGGACAGAATTAACAAGAAGTTCGATCATGGCTGACACATCAATCCCACCTTTCAACAAATTGGTGCAGTCGAAACTACGTCAAGTACGGTCTCATTATAAGTACAGTTAAAACAACAGGACACAGCAATAAAGGTTTGTCGGTCTTCCATCCTTATTTATCACAGCATTTCACATATTTAGTAAACACAACTTAGACGTTTAAATGTAAGATAAGACTAGATTATTTACTTCCTTACACATATGTTACATGCATAATCAGATGCATCTTAATAACCTCTTTGTTATATAAAAACTGTTTACATGTGAAAAACAAGATATACTGTTAAACTCTTTTGAAATAAATTAATTCAAATTTCAATTTATTTCTTCTTTGTTTTTTTTTTCTTTTGAATTCGTATTTAGCGTCAATTTTCTGAATATTGGCAACATAATTTCGGAGGGGTTTCTGTTGCAATTCATGAATATTGTTTTTACGCAATTTATTCCTTTTATATTTTATATTTTAATGATAGTTTGATATTTTTAAGATAATAAAACACTTTTATTATCTTTTTATTATTACCAAGCTCTCTGATTGCCCCAAACTTGATCACATGATCAAGTATATTACAACACAAAGGCTTGTGTTACTATATATAAATTTTGAAATACAGATAGACTTGATGTTTCTAAATATGGAAATATTTTTTTTTCCTGTAAGCAATAGTTGATGCAGTGTATGACTTGATATTTCTGAAAAAAAGATAAACCTAAAATCCTATTTATAATTATGTAATACAGTAATTGATGAAGGATATGGAGATAACGAACAGTATTCAATCTCAAAGTCCATAAAACAATACAAAATTAAAGCAGAGCGAACACGGACCTCCAAAACATCAGAGGTGGGATCAGGTGCATTGGAGGAGTGAGCATCCCCTGCCGACCGGTCACACCCGCCGTGTGCTCCTTATCATGATCAGGAAATAACGGAAAAAAATCCGTCGTCAATTCAGTGTATAAATAATGGACTAACAATTGGTATGAAAAACGCTAGTCAGCATTTGACTCAATGATAAACTGTATTTGCTAACAAGGTCATTGTGTCAACCATAGAACTTACAAAATGATGACTTTAAACAGTGCATTGAATAAGGATCTACTTTATATTAAAATATAGAGATCTTTCCAAAAATAAAAAAAGCTAATGTAGCTTTTTAAATCAAATTCCCTACATTACTCTATCAACATAAAGGAAAAATAATTTCACTCAATAGCCAAAATTAATATATCTATGGATTGACCTCATCAAAGGGATACATCTATATGATATATCAAGTAATTTATTCTTATATATCTTTAGATCCTTTCTGTCACACCACAGAAACAGCCATCACAAGAAGTCTTCACTACGGCGTCCTCTTAAGTAAAAACTCAATGCTTCGCTGGAAGGCCCTTAAAGGTCTGTCCGTAATCAACGATATTTATCAGCGATTCCATAACACGACAGTACATACAAGGACGCCCCAGGAATTCCGGAAAAAGTGCAAGGCATTATCAACACTCAAGTGTTCCGAACGTCACGTGACCTTTGCCTCTGATGATTTTGAGTTCCCGACTCTGTGGACATTCTTACAACATGGTAGCATTACAAGCAAGATGGAGGTGTTGTTTGAGAGTCGAAATTTGATGATTCTGAGGAGATACTTCAGAAGTGACAGGCACATCCCAGAGGAGAACGAGAAGTGTGTGTGTGTACCGAGAATTTATCGTGAAACACTGAAATCTAAAGCTGTATAATTCAAAACATGTCACAACAAAATGAGTATGCTGCAAGGGATTATTAATTAAAAAATCATATGGATAAAAGAAGAATTAGAGATTGCTCCTTTAAAAGACTTCTCTATTTTGTTTTCAATGATAACATACCCTCTCCAGTTGAATTGATGTTTTCAAATTTTTACCTTTAAATAATTGCACATATATCATTATTTTAAATATATTCAATATAACAAAAAGGACTTTAATTGTTAGGTTATGACCAATATTTGCCCCCGAAATCAAACTTTGACGAAGAAATATATAATTAAATTTTGAAACAGGGGAATATCTGCAGGCAAACATGTTTAAAAGTGTAAACCGATGTACATTCGTCTTGAATGCTCTTGAAAATAAACATAAATCAAGTAAGGAATGAATTTAAATCTTCACTAAGTTTACAGTTTAGAAGTATCAATATGTAATTATGTTTATTTCTTATATGTATGACTAAGTTCTCCTTGGCTATAAATGAAATATATGGCAATAACAAACAGTATTTATAAAGCTCAAAAGTCCATTGAACTACACAAATTTTGTTGCAGAGCAACCATGGATTATTTAACAATCAGAGGTAGGATCAGGTGCAATGGAGAAGTGAATATTTCCTGCTGACCTATTCACTTAATTGTAGAATGATTTTGTTTAAAAGTTGATTGTATCGACCACAGAATCTTTAAAAAATGACTTAAGGTTATCCGATCCTCAGGTTCTGAAAATCAGGCATTGAGTAATTGAAAATGTTCACAAAGATGTCTCTAAATTCTCAAATTAAAATGGATTTACCCACGGTGTTTCTTTAAAATTCATCTTTAAAATTAATCATATTATATAGGGAAAATTAGTAAATCTCGAATAATTTTTCAGGAAATGCGATTTGAACTACCTACTGCATATTTTTTAATTGATAATTGATCAAGAAATACATTTTAGGAATAAAAATGATAGGTATCCAGGCTTTTAAAGAAAATTGCATGAATTTTACAACTATTTGGACTTTACTTTCTCCTACTTACTTCCATTGTTTCATAATGCATAGTGTATGAAGTGTTTCCTTTCAAAGAAAACACTGTAAATCACTTCTAATTTCAAATCATGCATGTAAACATTGGTAACTAAGGCTAAATTAAAAGAAATTTGATTTTTTTAAAATATGCAAGTTTTACTTCATTTTATAAAGGAAAAATGTCAACTTTTTAAATACCGTTTGTTAAAACTTTAAAGAGCATTGAATCATACGTAGAGGCATATAATAAAAATTGTTGCATGAAAAAATTTCAATTTCAAGCCTTATTTTAATACTTTTTGAATTAAATTATAAATTAAAGAGTTATCCTTCCTGGCCGAGGATCGTATATCCTTAACAAGATAAAAGATTTAAACTTTAACAAGAGTAGAGTTTAAACTTCACATGTGAACCCGCCCTATTTCCGAAGACCATGATTTGAACAAACTTGAATCTACACTACCTGAAAATCTTCACATAAGTTTCATCTTTCCTGGCCTGGTGGTTCGTGAAAAGAAAATTTTAAAAGATTTTCCCTATATATTCCTATACATGTATATTCATATAAAAACTGTGATTGTCAATTGTGTCCCCGCCCTACCCTCAGGGGACATGATTTGAACAAACTTGAGTCTACTCTACTTGAGGATGTTTCCACAAAAGTTTCATTTTCCTGGCCCAGTGATTCTTGCGAAGAAGATTTTTAAAAGATGCTTATATTTTTTCACTTATTCTCAATTATCTCCCGAAACTTGAATCCTCTTTACCCAAAGATATTTTGTGGCAAGTTTTTTTTTTTTAAATTGGCCTAGTGGTTCTTGAGAAGTCGAATATGTAAAAAGTGTACAGACAGATCTAGACAGATAGAAGGATGGACAGAGAGACGGACGCAGGACAAAATGTGATCAGAAAATCTCACTTGAGCCTTCAGCTCAGGTGAGCTAAATGTATATTTTTACCCTTTCTGTGGCTTAACAATCCCTGGAGACTATCTAATGAAAAAATACATCCACACTAGCTATGTGCAAGTGTTTGCACACAAAAAAACATATACATGTATAGGTCTTGCTGTTCTCCAAAGTGATCTATAAGATGTAACTTTTCCCTCACCGTTTTCCAACCCTTATACACACTATGTGAAAAAATCTGCCCGAGTGATTGTTAAGAATTATTTTTTAAAAATTTCTTTAGAATATCACTTTAAAGGATGGTTTTGCTTTCTATCTAAACGTACACAAAATTATGATGTCATATGTAAGCCCCAACAATTGCGGTAAATTTGTTTGAAAAAAAATTCCTACGGAATCTGAGAAAGAAGTTGAGAATGTGAAATATTAAAAGACAATGTTTTACATACATTTGTACCATGGACGGACAGAAGAACAGAACACTCCTTGATCCGGAATGCTCACTACAGATTTGGCTCAGGGGAGATTATGAAAAACATAATAATGCTTAAAAATATTTTAATTTAGACACTTTTAATTCATATTTTATTAACACACTGAGGAAACACATTTGATGTCAAAGTCTATGTATTCAAGCACTTCTTTTTATTTTGTTTTATGTCAACAGATATTATGATTCATTTATTTCATGCTATTTTACATTGACATTATATGATTTTCCATTTATAAATGGTGTCAGTGAAATGAAAAAAAGAAGACCGTCTACCATTCTCTTTTACGGGAATATATGAAAATAACACACATTATATTCAAGCTCAAAAATTAATTCAAATAACATAATCAGGAGCAAAAGAAAGAAAAGGGATTTAAACCATCAGAGGTTGGATCAGGTGAAATGAAGAAGAGAGAATCCCCTGCAGACCAAACCTACCTGCCATGTGTGGTTTTTTCATGGCCATGAGATAACAGAAAATAAGAATACAAAATATACATTTTGGTAAATACATACAAAGTCTACTTTTTAGATTTCTCCATCCAAGTAAGTTGTAAATAAGTCCTTTAAGAACTAAACTCACAGCATTTCTTGGGGGAATGCAGAATTATTGCTTTCGAACACATTTCTCTTAGTTTAAAAACATTTCTACTTGTTTTTCCGACCCTTTTCTTCGAACTTGATTTCTGACTTGAAAGTTATTCACTCACAGTATATATAACAGATACTATTTTTGAAGTTATATACATGTACATGAATGTACAAGAACAAACAAACTAAAGCAAACACCCACTGCAAATGTTCGGCAAATTTCAAATGATTTACGTACAAAACAAAAATATTATGTATCCCGTAGATCCGTAATCAAAGATATCTTCAAACAATAATGAATTACATAGCAAAGTCCCTACAAATCATAAAAATACATGTAAATACAGTGCACATGAAATTGTTATAGGCATGTGCATGTACATGTTCACCTAGTGGGTCGCCAAGAACCGTCATGATAAAAACTGATAAGTACATTGACCCAAAAGAAGAACACAAACACGCAATTCCTTCACATGTGTATAGATTTTTAAAAAGTATTTTGTTTTGATTAAAAAAAAAGGTATAAGAAACATAGCATATCCTTCGCAAAAGTAATTTAAATGCATTGGAAAATTGTAATGCTATAATTCATAATTACAGAAAAAATCCGTAATTGAAGCGATCATCCCTTAAAAATAATTGGTTTGTACATATTTTAATGTAATTCAAAAATTACAAAGGTAATTGACACGTCCTTAAAACTTATAACACCTTCTTCCTACTTTAATATAAATAATTAGATCACTTTAATATAAATAATTTTATCAAATATGTTTTTTGTTTTGTTTTCATGCATGTATATTACCTTTATATTACATGTAGATCTTTATCAATCTGTAACGTGCATTTACAAATGCTCACTTAATTATAAGAATCATAAAACAAATTCACTTATTTCACTGATGTGCTGATGAATATCTGCAATTATATGACACTGCAATCGTTTGTCTTTCAGCAAATCCCATTGTAATGCCATAATAATCATACATGTGTGTTGTGTTTGATGGATTAGTTTAGATAGATTAGTTGTAGATTTGGGAGTGTTTTATGTGTTTAGGCTCAAGTGTATCTATACATAACCAATATAGAAGTGAAAGCAATATGAGCTGCATTTTTGAGAATTTTATTTTGCTGGTAAAATGTGTTATTATGATTAATCAGGTCTGGACGATTTCTAAATAGCAAAGTCAAGAACGATAACTGTGAATTGCTATTAATACACGGAATAAACAAGGCACTAATCCTTCTGACCAATCAGATAACAGCATTTAGACAAACCAATGAGAAAAAAAAATAAAACAAGTGGTTTTTAAGTTTTTTGCTCAAAAGATTTGTTTAGAACAAACTTTTTGTAAACTTAATGCGCATTAAGGAATAAAATAATATATTTGACAATTCTACCGTGACCAAACACGACTTGAAAGCTTAGAATACGTTTTATGTGGGATAAAAAATCTGTCGGTAGGAGGTAGCAATCCCAAAAGTTTAACTTACGTTAAATTTGATATAAGTACGGTAAATCTTCAGTTTTTAGAACCTGACATAAAAATCTTATCGAAAAGATATCAGTTTTTATTCTTTTTGAATGTTTATTACAGAATAGTCCATGCAGTTTCTGATATGCGAGGTAAAATATTGGGATAAAACGCATTCATGTACATGTATAATTACAAGATTCTCTTTTCTCCATGTTATACGCCTTTCCTTATGCCAATTTAAAGTCTGCATAGCCAATTATTCGGCGCTCATGAAACCCATGATGATTTAAAACTATATGTGTATAGTCCATACGATAAACACTTGTGGGAGTTGATCTATACACATGGAATTTAAGCAGTATCGATGAAAATCGGTTGGCTAAGCAAAATTATATTTACCATCATATATATTCTGGTAAATGTTACAATTGAACTTGATAAAAACTTGTTGGTGCAATCTATACCACTGTAAACGATTACATTCTATCGTGCATTATTTTTTTCTTTACCGAGATAAAAATGTCAAGGTTGTTCACGGTAAAAATGTGGGGAATACCCTTTCTTCAAAGGTTTTCATCTTACTTCTACAGATTTTTTGTTAAAAAAAATCTTTTTGAGGAAAAAACAAAAGCACGTGTTATCCTTTTGTTCTTTTAAAATATGTTTTGGGGTGTGTTCAAATGCTGTTGTCTGATTGGACAGAAAAATAATTACGTGACTTGATGTACATTTATAGCAACTTTCAGTTATCGTTCTTGACTTCTATATTTAGAAATCGTCCAGACCTGTTAATCTGTATGTAATCTAAACCATCATGATCAATAAGACCAAAATTAAGTTTTAAAATGTTTCATCAGATTTATTTCTGCACAACAGAATATACAGTATTATATAAGAAATCATTATTGTACAGGACGTCAATAATTCATTTTTGCTTCAATCAAAGCTAATAAAAAGTTCTTCCATAGCAAATATGAACAAAAGATGTTCATAAATGTTGTATTTTCCTGTCATTGAAAAAGTTAATAACACATTTGAAATATTTTTTTCTGATGTCAAACATGCAGCTCATTTTGCTTTAAATTATGGAAAATAACTGCAGAAGCAAGCAGTGGTTCATTGCTTTCATAATTCAAATTTGGCATAATATTCATAATAGTGAAAACGTAAGGGCAAACGCAGTTATTGATTAATTAATCTACAACTCTGTCATATGTTGATTCTGTATCTTCTTATGACATTACAGTATTCAACAAAAACCTTCAGTACCCGTTTTATGCGTATCATAAATTAAATTATTTCAAAAACTAATTTAAGACAAAAAATTATATTTTTTACAGACCTGTCATGCATGGGGATGAAGGATATGGAAATAACGAACATCATTCAACATCAAATTCCATAAAACAATACAAAATAGGAGCAGGTCAAACACGGACCAAAAATCACAGAGTTTGCACAGATTTCGTCTACAAAATAGTATTTTAAATGACAAAAAAGTAACATCACATACAAAATCATAGATAGGATGCATACTATAGTTGCGTGGCATAACAAATTGTTTTAAAACCTTGTTTATATATTCTAAGCCATCGTCGCAAGCCACGGTCCGGAGTCCGCATATATAGCTCTCTCTTACCCGTGGCTGCTTAATCACAAAAAGTGTCGTTATCTTGAATATTAACGCCTCTCTATTGTGACGTCATATTCTGTCAGTGGCAAGTTCTGTTTCCATAACAATTGAAATCAACAACTGACGTCAACAGTATACCAGAAATATTTCCTATACTGCGATTGGGTATTGAAAGGTCGCGATAAAGTTCATCATCCGACTATATTTTACTCGCATTTGTCAATATTTTAATGAGCTACAAAGAATTCTCTGCTCGTTCAACCACGGCCAAAATGGGAGAGGATCGCACATTTTGGCCGTGGTTTGACGATGATTCTAAGTCAGTTGTTGCTATTTTCTAGCCACAAAGTCTCTGAAAAAAACTGCGGTGGATGATTTTGTTGTTTAGAATATTTACGAACAGTCCTATCAAAATGTCTTTGATCCATGGGTAAATTTTAATCCATATTTCCTCCCTTCTCACATGTTGTGCTTTGCGCTGCTTGTCCGCTATTAAAGTCATCTTGAAATTACCTTATAGTGGTCTCTAATTAAAATTCACTCTTAGAGTAACTGGTAGTTTTATAAAATAATATTTCTCTGTCTCATTATAAATCTCTATGTAGGGCATGAGTTTAAATTTAAAAGTCATAGAAATAAGAGCAAAGAATTGAAGCTCAAAATGAATTCAAATCAATAATCCACTTCTCTTTATTTCTATTTTTAATTTGTCTTCTATATGATGACATTTCACCTTTGCAGAAGTCAGTTATTAGAAAAGAGAGATTTTTCTTTTTCAAACTGTCCCAGTTTGTATATAAAAATATGGTGAAAACAAACATTATTCCAGCTCAAACGTCCAAATCGATACAAACTTGGAGCAGAGCAATCATGGACCTCCATAAAGGAGTGGAATCGGGTGCTATGAATGAGTGGGCATCCCCAAAAAACCGGGCACAGTAACCGTATGCCCTTTGTCATGATCGAGATATAACGGTTGAATACGTCGACAGTTCAGTGTGTAGTTTATGGTCTAATAATTAGAATGAAAAACGTCCGACAGCATTTGAATTGATGGTTAATTGTATCTAAAATTATATCTAAAATTCAGTAAAATTAGACTATTTTCTACCCGATTGATTTACTGATATTTTATAAGTTCATAGTATTTGTTGATTTAAACCGTGGGAAATATTAACATTTCCTTGTGTATATAAGGCAACATTTATCATTTTACATGTGTATATTTCTATTTTTCAAAGTAAGCCAATATGCAGTCATACAATGCTGCAATCATTTTATGCAAGGAATTATTTATCAGTAAGGAACAATAGTATCTCATAGTTAAGAATTTATACCATATAATGGCATAATATTAATACATGTAATTAACTTTGGTGCTATAAATGGCCTACATCTAAAATTAAATAGCTGTTAACCTTACTTTAATAAGAAATTATGCCTGCAAATAAAACATAATTTAAGCATTTATGAGATTAAAAAAATCATCACAATCTTTTTTATAAACCTACAACAATGAAGATACTTGAATATTAGTTCAAATATTAGTAGCTTTAATGTTTTAGAATCATTTTTATTTTTTTCTTGAAAATATTTTTTAAAGTTTATATGTTAATCTTTCCGTCTCTTTAATTTTCAAAAAAAAAAATATTTAAAGGGGAAGCTACCACTTTATCCTTTTCGGTGTTTTAATTCAGAAAGATCTTACCTATTATGTATTTAAAAATTTTTTTACTATTGAATGGGGTTGTCTGAAATTTATGTCAAAAGAGATCTTAGATATTTTCTTAAAAAGTCAATAAAAAGGTGATGCATATTAGAGACATTATGATAACGGAAGAAACAGATGTTAATTAGGGCATATTTTAAAGTTTTGTGTGAGTTATTGGTGTGTGAATCACACAGACTTGCATGAAGGCATATTTCATGAAGCGCGCTAGCGCTTCATGAAAAATATGCTTTCATGCAAGTCTGTGTGATTCACACACCAATAATTCACACTAAACTGAAAATCATTCATTATGTTTACATTTTACATGTTTGGAAGCAACTAAATTACGCTAAATATTTGAATTTCCCGCTGCCCTATATCAATGCATTTTTACTAACGTCGCTGCAGCCTCATTGTGACGTCACGTTAACGCACGTTTCTCGTGTATATTTCTACGCGCGAGTAAAAAAAATAGTTTTTAAATCAATTTCATAGTTGGTTTACTAGAAAAACACAGCGAATGTAAATATTCCGATCTGAGTGAACTTAAAGGTTGATGGTGCCATTAACCCACGGTATATTCCGAGAGAGCTAAATTTCACCAGATGAATTTTGACAGTGACCCTTTTTCCGTTTACACCAGATAGGTTTTGACAGTTCCCCTCACAAACTCCCTACAAATGGGGCACTTCCTCATGGCTGGAGCACAGTCAGCACAGCAGGCCAGGTGACCACACGGCAGGAAGGCAACTGACACAGTCCCTTCCATGCAGATCTTGCATTGAATCTGGTCCTTCAGGCTCGAATTTTCACGTTTTAGGGATTCTACATCTGTAAGTAATAAAAAAAATTATGGCGTTGATAATAGTTTGATATTTACAAGTTTCTATCGCAGTATTTTTAGTAACACATTGTTTTTTTTTCAATCTTTAAGATGGTTTTAACAGATAATCTCAGAACGATTGATTGATTGATTAATGTTTTACGCCGAATCGGCAATATTTCAGCCATATATCGGCGAATCTCAGAACGATATTCTATTCTTGTCTTACGTAGACTTAAGCATATATTTTGGAAACCTTTTTTTCAAAATCTTCAGAAATAGAAAATTTGAATAAATCAATCCTCGAGTGCACTATGTCTTTCGACTTGACTAATTTATGAAATAAATAAATATTTGTAGAAATGATACCATTGATCGGCACACTGTTCTTTTGGTCTTCCGAGGTTGCACCTTCTACTTAAAAATATAATAGGTAAACAAGAAAATAATTTCAGAAAATGGAGCTGAGATTATAACAATTAACTTGAAATTGCAATAGATCAAATTATTTCTTTCTTGTGATAAACGAGAGGCCCAGGGGCTTAACGTCATACAACACCTTGAACAATAGAAGCAGAAAAATAAAATATAATTATATTAAAGAGTCTGTGGACTTATGCTCAGTAGTTATACACCCACTCTGATGTAAATATAAATAGATATATATACACATGTAAATAAATTAAGATACGGAAACACTGATAAACAGGACGATAACATCAGATTCATACGAAAAGACACCAGACCATATCCTGTGCCTCAACAAAGAATGTGTGAAATTTTCAAGCATTGGCAGTAAGCAGTTGTTGTGATTTTTTTCATTTGGTACGGTCAGATGCACTGATAAACAAGAAGTTGACATGAGATCTGTACAAAATTTATGCTCTCATGCGGTACGCTTCAACAAAGAGTATAAGATCACCAAGCAGTGGACACCCTCTTTCTTGAATAAGTTAACGATGAAACATATGGAAATTACAAACTGTATTCAAGACCAAAATCCATTAAACAATACGAACTTCAAGAACAAAATTAAAATGTTTGAAAGTGCAAAGATGTGTAAATCAAAATTCCAAGTCATATTAACATCTTTTGGTCTTTAAAGAATATTTATTAACAAATTTACATGTTTTATATATTGAGTTCCATCAACAACTTCTATAAGATCACCAAGCAAGATTTTCAATTTATTTTCGTGTGAAATACTTTTATAATATATATATCGTGATATTATATAGAAAATTAAAAATATATATAAACTTCAAATCTGTGTCTATTCGCCTTTAGAGATAAAATCAGAAATCAGCAATATTTTTCACAGATTTACAATCAAACTAGTAACACAAATAATGTTCACTGAATATATAGTGTGAGAATTTTATAAGATTGTGTCATAAGATTAAACATTGGGGCAAAATTGTGTATGTAATTATATAGAAAGCAAAAAACCCTCAACTTAGCACCAAGGAAAAGGTACAATTTCTTTATGTTTTAGGAATTTAACAGTCGTATGACATGTCATTGCCCTTGGTGTCATTTGAAAGAGCTTAATTAGTGGGGTCAGCATATTAAATATGAAGTCTCAATCTTTAATGGTTCAAAAAGTATGGCGAAATTTAAAAAAAAGTTTTTTAGCATATGGGTCACCGTCAAAGTTACAAGCTCATGCACCTTCTTGTCATTTCAACAAACTCAATTAGTGGAGTGCGCATACCAAATATGAGCTTCTATCTCTCACGGGTCAAAAGTTAAAGTTGACAGCAGACAGACAGACAAACAGATAAAAAGACAAACAGACAAAACAAAAACAATATATACCCAGAATCAATTAATCCAGGAGGATAAAAACATTTCCTTGAGAATTTAAGGGATCCCGACCCTCAGGTATAACTTTCGTCAAGAAAATTAAAAATTTCTAATATTGATTTTCATGAGCAACGATAACATTAAAGCCAAATGGAAAGTAGTTTGATGTTTGAAACGCTGCTTAATTTTTATGCACCCGGATAGATAGATCGTCTTGTCTGTCTGGTCAACTCTGACTTTCGCTATAACTTTTAAACGATGAGGGGTAAAGACTTCATATTTGGTATGCATACTTCACTTATTAAAGTCTTTCAAATAAAACAAAGGACAATGACCTTGTGACCTTGATTTTGTAAAATTTTAACAAAATTTATTGCTTTATAATATTTTTAAGATGCAGAAAAGAAGATATTTTTATACGCCACCATTCTGCGAGAAATATTGTCCATGCTAGTTTTAAAACGCGGATTACCATTTCTATTTAAAGAAGTACAGTTGTGATGTGGAAAGAAAAACATCTCTTATATATGAATATATAAAACATACAAGCAGACAAACAGATGAGTATTTCATCTAGTCAAAACCCAGAAAAGAATCCTACTTAGGACTCATTGAAAATTATAATCATAAAGATACTAATACTTTTTTGTTTGAAGTCCAATTTTAAGGAAAATACTTTTTTTTCGAAAATTCCATAAATTTGATAGTTTAAGTCCCATTTTAAATTCCAATATTTTTAATTGATATATTGGAAGACGCCTTAAATAATCAAATTATATACCTGTGTATATACGACCGATGAAGATGGAGCAAATATGTAACTAGCTTTTAATAAATGCAATTTTTACAATTGTTTTCGGCAAACAGTAGTTAATTTAGAGTTTGTGTTCTGTTATTAATATACATGTATGTAAGAAATATTTTATAGGTGTAAAGAAAAATTGACCATTTTTGTTGGTAACCTTTGATCATGGTTGATTCTTATATTAACTACGTTTTTTGTTTATTCATTAAAAACTGTATTTTGATCAATAAAATTCAGCTTCAATATACATTTGTCTTTTGTCCTTTTTCATAGCATTTGGGAGAAGAGGAGGCATAAAGTGATTTAAGTGGAACAATGCGTACCTTCATTTGATACTGATCTCTCACTTGATTGTTCGGATGTATTTGTAGGCAGATCTTCTGGCAATGTTGCTGTTTCTACAATCTGAGAACGTAGCATGGATTCTGTTCTCTGGTTATCAGACAGTTCAAAGATAACTTCTAGAATTTCCTGAGCAGAAACCTTATGTTTACCTTAAAAAAAAACAGGATTTAAATTAATACAATACTAATGCATAGAATAAAAAACTGTATGAAGAACCCCAACAGAGATGCTTATCTTTTAAGGGGGCCGACTATAGTTTTCATTGCGCAATATTTCGCGCATCATAGTAAAATGAAGCGTATTAACTGTTTTAATGCAACTTTTTTCGCTTAATTATTGAAATTAAACAAAGTTAAGACATTATAGGTATAAAAATATAATTACAATTTGATATAACTGATTTTTTAGCCGATTTTGCAATTGATAGGTAGGCTGACGTCGTTGCAGCGTTTCTTTGACGTTATGATAATCTGTAGCTCTTAAAGAAAGGGGTATTAAAAATATTATTAAAGAAAAAGTAATAAACGTACGCTCTTGATATTTAAAACATAGAAATTTGAGAATATCTCTAATATTTTTATTATGTTTTCATATGAATCCATTGTGTACGTCATATTTTGTAATACTCTATAAAAAATAGTAAAATTCACTAATTTTTTGCATTTTGAGATGTCCCCTCTGGTAACAAGACGGTAGAATTTTGTGTTTCTTACATATATTGTATAATATAGTATTACTCATCAAATATTATAGTTTGAACAAAATGTCTATTGTAGTATTTGTATAATTTGCTTTAAAGTGCTAAAAATTGGCATTTTCCCATATAATCCTATAGTAAATGTACCTGTATTTTGAGATGGTCCCTGAAAAATACCTGGACGGTAGATTTCCCCCAAACTTTGCATGTACACTGAAGTTAATGTAAGTTATGTATGGTATAAAAATGACGAGTTTCGCTATTGTAGTTTTCACACAATAAAACTATAGTCGGCCCCCTTAAAATGAGGAAAAAAAACAGAAAATGATTAAATAAAGAAACCTTCCTTTGATGAATTCAGACTTTCTTTAAAGACGTTTAAAATTATTTGCAATTTTGATAAGGTTGATAAAATATCTAAGCAAAGCAAAATACGTCTTAAATATTATGACGTAAGATATTATAGTACACTTGTTATACACAATTCAATATACAGCTTTGAACTTATTAAGTAACATTTTTCATACAGTACATTCATGAATATCTTCTAAAAGGTCTAAATGTATAAAAACATTGATTTTTTTAGTTTAAAGATTGATGGCTGGATTTTTTGGGTACCTCTTAACAAGATGACTCTCTTACTAACCTCTAGGTAGCCTGCTTTTGATAGTGGTTATGGCTGCCTTTATTTCCTCGTCGTTATATCCCATATCCTTAATACTTTTAACAGCGGCTGAATTCATAATTTTCTCTTCTTTAGAACGTTTTTCATCATCTATACCATGTGATCAAAATTTAGACTTTATAAAATATACAATGATTGCATAATCACATTATTCATTTTGAATCAACTAAGAAAAGTTGTCGATTGTTACAAACGTTGAATGAAGTACAATACAGAAAATGTGGACCTAATTATAGCATGAGGATATTTTGCAATTAAACTTTTATATATTAGGAACAATTTATGCTGAATTTTAATGAAATTTGATGTTCTCGGTCTTAGAAGATAATCAGTCACTTACTATTTATTTGCTCCGTAAGTTGCAACTATTTTTTGTTCTTAGGGACTAACATATATGAGATTGATTCTATATGACTATGCTGATTTGCTACATGGATTCTACTTCCTGGAATTCGACTTTTCGTAATCAACGATCGTTTTAATCAGCTTTTTACCTGTTTTTTTACTTTTTATTTTTGCCAAACAACTTACCGATATTCTTTTCTTGTGAGGCATTAGGTAATGAATGCTGTTCCTGAACATAAATAATCATTCTTATTTATCATGTTAAAAGAAGGAATACTAGTGAAAAGAGATAATTGGCATAAAATTTCTCCATAATATTTTTTTCACTGTAACAGTCACAGTTCATAGGCATCTAACAGCTTTAACCAAACAAAGTATTGTACATTGCGCATTTATAGTATCATAAACGGACCTTTGATAGATGTCAATATTCGTTGTAATTAACATTCTTTTAAAGGATAAGTATCAAGGAGAAAACAAAACAAATATCTTTTAAAAATTAAATTAGTTTTATTACAAACAATATTCCTTGTCATCATACAAAATAAGCTAATCAGGTATCGATTCAGAAAAGAAATCCTAATCAAAGTACTGAAAAACTTCTACGAGTTGATGGTATTGTTTGTATGTTGTTTAACACCCCTCTCGAGAATTTCTACTCATATGACTAGACACCACCACTTGCCAGTGTAGTGTTTCAATTTTTGCCCTATACTCGGCACTTTACGGCCATTGATCAGTGATGATTTTTTTTTTCGTGCCAGCATATACTTCCACACAGGACTTCGATTTATAAGTCTCATCTGAAGGCTCGGTCGCCACGTCCCATAGTGGGATTCGATGTAACGATCAACTACTTACTTCACGACTCTAGAGCAGACGCTCTAACTACTGCGCCACACATGTTAAAATGAGTGGAGGTTTCTGATCCATATTTGGGTTATATGTGTTATGTGCTATGATGAAAAAAAATAGATAAGGAAGCTTCTTACACAAATATTTCAAACTAAGAGGGCCAACCTTTAACAATACATATGTATTTCAAATAGGGAATTATAACTTAAAAAGAGCGCAAATGAATAAAATCATTAATGTGCACATTAATATGCACATTAAATATTTGACATTGGAGAATTGGATTTGACATTTGATGGATAAATTGACAAATAATTTGACATTTTCAGTGCACAAGTGCACATCAATATGTTTCATTTCTCGTGATTGAGCCACTCTTAAATTTCAAATCCTCTTTTTTAAATTGATATGCATATTACAAAATTCAAAATTCTTGATTTGGTTACTATGGTTATTGAAATTCAGCTCCACGTCTTTCAAAACTTTCTCGATTAAGCCACTCGTGAAGTTCAGCTCCTTGACTTGTATATGTATGATCTTTGATATGCAAAATAAATAATCCAATTCTCCTGATTTAGCTGCTCTTAAAATTCAACTCTTTTTGACTTTTAATTGAAATGAACATTAATATTAAATATTATGTTTTTTTCGTTTGTTTTAAAATATACTCTTGAAATATATCTACCTGACTTTATGTAATATATTATATTACATATCTTTCAATTTAGCTCTCTTGTAATTCAACTAAATGACTTTCATTGATAAATTTATGCAGGATTAATATTTCAATTCTTTTTCACTTTTTGAATTTTATCACAAAGGCATTGTATTTTAATCGTTTACATAATCTATTTACTTTTGGATATATTTGATTTTTCAGTCTCTTGATTCACATTTATCAACAAACATTTCTCATTTTATTTATGAATAACACCCGATTTGGTTATTTTTTTTTACTATCTCTGTACTTTTAATTCACTGTATTATATTGCCAGCATCTGATAGTAAGACACAGCTGGATATAGTAAAGGAACTCTCTTTCCAGAGTAGCGCAGACAATAAGATAAGTATCACAGGCATGTTATGTGACCTTTACTTTATTTAAAGCTTGCTGTTATACAGATCTAAATTGTGGAAGACAGTGGTTCTTTTATTGTTTGCACAAGAAGTAATGGCATTTACATAAAAGAAATATTTTATCAACAGGTACATGTACAGCTCATTTCTTCCCTTTACGATTAATATTTGATTTACTTCGACCATCTTTACTAGGTGTTTCTCGCTTTGTTTACAAACATAAGTAGTGTTCTATATGTAAACACTTCATCACTAGTTATCGCGGGAAAATTGCACTGGTCATTAACATACTGAATCAGCGCAAGATTTAGTTTATTTATATACCACTAACACGTCAGTCTTGTAAAAATAACCTGGATTGTACAATATTTAAAATTGTAAATTTTCTTTCAAAATTTAATTTCAAATTACTGACTTATAAAAGAAAATAGTTATTGACTTAAAAATCAAGACTTTGTTTGCATGACATATCACAATTTTTGACTGCATGCCCCTTGCACTATTTTCTCTCGCGGATTGACAAAATTCCCAAAAAATAAATAATAAAATATTTAAGTTTATAAACACTTCAAAGCATATCAGGAAACATATTCTTACATGTATTCTGTAGATCATGAATATTGTCAATAAGCCAAAATTATACAAGAACCTGTACGCAAAATACTCAAACAAAAATGTGATTGGTTTCGATACATGGGGATTCCTTTACCAGTAACATAACATGAGTTGATACCATCAACTCGTAAAAACTAAATTCTCCGGTGGGGATGTATAGCATTTGCAATTATATATCGGGACTCAGGGTTTGATATATTCGGATAAGATTGATGCTGACTATTCTCCAGAACTCACCATTTCTGCAGCTCTGCGAAGAACAAGGTCAATAAACTGCTGACCACGGTTTTGCCTCACAAAAGCACATTTGCTGAACCAACGAGCGTGTTCGACCTAAAATGTATATGGTACAAAACGTCTATATTACGGTGAAGTCATAATCGTTTTACAAATTTCTTCTGTGAATTTACATTTCCTCCTGACAAAGTATATAGACCCAATTATTTTTATGTCAATGTTTGTGATTTATATACAAACATGTTTGTTTTATACGATAGAGCAAGTTCAGTTCTGTTAAGAAATGGGGATAAAATTTCTTCAGAAATTATTTATATATATAACTGTATTTTTCTGAAAAGAAACATCCACTGTTATTCTTTGAGTTACTAGTTTGTTGATATTTTGCTTTTCCTAAAATATATACAAGTATGGTTGTTTTTCTGGGATATTTTTACAATTAAATTACCCAAGGGTCGTCCCCTGCCTCCCAGTTCCTCAGTCCCCCTCCACAGAAAAAACAGCGTGTGTAGTCGCCGTGCCCAGCGTAGAAGAACCCCGCCAGGGCCATGTCACGTGGGGTCTGCGTCATGGCTGTCGGCCAATCAGCGAAGGAGCTGATCCTCACAGCCAGAATGGCGTAGGACGGGTACTTAGGGCGGTCAAAGTTAATCCCCATGGGGTCCCTCATCAAGGCTTCTAACTGTGTTTCTCTTGACGGCGTGCTAGAAGCGGTGGCTTGTGTGATGGGAACAGTTGCGGTTTGTGCTGTGTTTTCAGTCGTGGAATGTGGTGTCATCGGTGAGTAAGATGCTCTTTCTTGCGTAATGGCTGGTCTAATACACGAAGCTGCTGTGGCTTTTGTTTCAGTGGAAACCGATTGATGGTATTCATTTTGATTACGTCTGGTGGTGGAACTTTGATTATGAAATCTCTCTGTAGGGAAATTCATCTCTGTTCGACTTTGTTGAGAATCTTTATCTCTTTCATACTATTCAGTTAATAAATATTATACAACATTGACATTGATTACAAATCCTATGCATGATATTCGATAAATTAGCATTTTTACTAAGTATTATACGGATATATAAAGTATATACCTGCATATGATAAACACTCGATGCGTTGCTTGAAAAGCTGGATAATTCATTTGAAATATGGTCATTTCGACCCTGTTCTGCTATGACAAAGTCACTTTCTGCTGTATCTGTATAATTATCATAATCAGTTGCTTGGTGAATTGCATCTCGTTGTCTTTGTATAGGTATGTTGTTTGATGAATTCGAAATGAATCTTTAAAAATATAGGGGAAAGAAAAACAGATAAAAATCGTTAATTTTCAACCGTTGAAATCCTAGAAAATTTTGCTATAATGCTATCAAAAATTGTGTATGTATTGATATTTACAAAAATGTGTAAGATAATATTCAGAACCTGCAATTGGGGTCATGGAAATCCCGAGGATCATCGCCTCTAATCCATCCTTGTCGAACTATATGACAGCTAAAACATGCTGTTGTGCTTTCGTTTCCGGTGCTATACCAACCATGTCTAGCGAGGACGGTGGCATGGACATCCTGCGAAACAAAATCATGGAAAGACGCTAATCGGGACCATTCATGGCGATACGATTCAACGATAGGCATTGAATGTAAAGAAATATCATTGAAGAGTGAACTTAATGTTCCAAAGCTTTCTTCTTCTTCCTGGTTTATAACAGGTCTAACATTGTTATATTTAGGATGATGGAATCTTTTAACATGTCTCCACCGCAGTACCTCTCTAATCACTTTGCGAATTTTTCTTCTTGCAACTCGTCTCTTTCTTTTCCGCAGTGATTTAAAATACCCTTTAACAATGTCAAACAAAAGTGAATATAAGTTTTTGCCCGATCTCATTATCATATTTTTTTCTTTTATATTTTTTTCTTCATGCAAACATTGTTTTAATAAACAAGGTTTGCTTGGCTTTCCTTTTTTGGATGCTGACGGAATTCTGTTTGAATTATGAGTCTGACAACCGTAGACCTTTACGTTCATAATATCGGTCTGATCAATAGGAAACTCCGAAGAGGGGTGCTCAAGTTCAGGTTTTGAATCAAATGAAGTTGTCATGTAAGACTTCGATTCAAGGGATGATTGGGATGTTGCAAGGCTTTCGCAGGTAACAGGACAGCTATTATGACTCATGTAACAATGAAAACCCGCATTTTGATTTTCTTGAGATGAATCGCTATTTTCCACCGAGAATGATAGTAATAAAGAATCGTCCTCACTTTTCGAATTTTTTACGAGTGAGTTCATTTTAACATTAGTTTCATTTTCACTACAATCTGGCATTTCTTTTGGCCTTGGAGAAATTCCTAAATCGGTTGAACAAAGGACTTTATGTGGGTATGTGTCCTCGGTTTCAGAACACTGCATACTGTGTCCCTCCACAGCCTTTAATGTCGTCTCTTCAGTTTCATTTGGAGAAGGTACTGGGTATTCTGTTGTATTTATTCTTTTAGTTTCCTTTTTAGTTTTCATTTTTTCTTTAATGCTTATTTGTTCTTTTAATGGTTCTGTTTGAAAGGAAATTGATACGTTTCTTTTACCAAAGGGTCTACTGTTTGGCGTCTTCGAAAAACCATGACTACTTTCAGGTAATGGAAATCCGATTAATTTCCTTTCTGGGTTTGTATTTGGTAAAGAGAATCTATGTCGTGTGTCTTGGCCTCTAGATGGCATATTACTTCGGAGCGATCTCTTTTCGTCTTGATACTCGAAAGAATCGCTCTGATAATTGGAAAGCAAAACATGATTTTCGTGAATGTGGTTACCATTTGCATTCTCGTTTAGTTGAGAAATAAGCATCTCATGTAAACATGTATTCTGGTTTTGAACATTCGGGTTAACAAGTTCTTTATCAGCACTTTTCAATTCCGTCTTTGCACAATCATTTGAGGAATATTTCTCACATGTATTCTCATAATTAAATGAAGTGCACGGGTTAATAGAGGTTTCGCTGATTATTTGATTTTCTTGGCATTTTACCGTATTTATATTCTCTTTCCTTTCATCTCTGTAAAACATACTTTTAGTGTGTAACTCGCTTTCTTGAATACATGTTGTTTCGTTTGCAGGAAAAGTTGTATTGTCAATACATTTTGAGTACTTCTGCTGCCGAGAGTACTGATATTTTTTTTCTAATGAGAATGTCGATCTTTCTGACGATGTTTTCTTTCCAATATATAAAGGTTTATTACTAGCCATCGTCCTTAAAAGATTGCATTTTATTAATACTTTGTTTTGGTATATCTTATTTAATTTAGCATCGTATAGATCTCTTCTAGGTTTTTGCTTATATTTCCATCTAGGGATCCAATGTTTATAATTTTTTATCGTTATCATTTGCTTTTTAACTCCCTCAATATATTCATGTTTATCCATTTCGTTCTTAGTCGAAGAAAGAAACACAACCAATAAAAATATGGTTATCAATTCTTTTACCCAACTGAATTTATTGCCACTTGTCCTGAAAATAAAAAAAATAACCATACAATTCCGTATCAAAAGACGTTCAATGTATTTACAATATAATCAAAATGACTAGACGTATGTGCCTTACAGTGATAGTTATAATATATTTTCTTTATTTATGCAGGATAGCCCATTTAGTTTACAAGTAGTGTATTTGTGGTGATGAAAACATTATTACAGACAGAACACTATGTACAAAAATATTTAGATAGTGATCAGTGCTTATTTCACAACAAAATTTAAGATAAAAGACACCAATAGTTAAAAAGGATTTTTTTTTCTCATCTTGTTTTGGTTTTTATAAAGTTTCTTTTTATATTTTCTTTGTCAATTGAAAGGGACATTCTTCCCGAAAATATGACAATTTTTATTGATATCGACGTTGGTCATTATTAGTACGTCGTATAAAATTTTATCCACGATCTCTGGTCTAATATGTACATGTTTATATAAGTTTATAGCAATTTTTTTGCAGTACTTAATATGCTTTTAAAGTCAAAATACTTACATATTTGTTTCAATCTCATCATGATATGCAATAAAATAAATGTCTTCTGCTGAAATTTAAAAAAAAAATAAAAGATTTAATGCATAGGGCTAAAATATAGTGTAGATTAGTCTTATCTATTCTATATGCGAGAACATGCTCCAGGTATAAAATGTTTTTAAAACGATGTAATCTATTGACAAACAAGTTGTTGAAAGAAAATAATTAGCAGTCTCATTTGAAGTCATCATTTCATTAGTTCTATCGTCGATACAATGACCTTGTGAGCATTAATTTGTTGTTGTTAAGTCAGTTGCTGACAGACGTTTTTCAAACAAATTGGAAGGTCATTTTATATCAAATGAATTGTTACCGTTATTTTCCAACCATTAACTTGAGAAGACCCTACCAACAAAATACTATAGTAAATTATAGTTTACTATAGTTAACTATAGTTGTTAAGTGAAAGCTTTGGAATTTTGATTTACTATGGTGGAAAATTTGGAACTTTGATTTATTATAGTAAAACTTTGGAACTTTGATTTACCTTAGTGAAAACTGTCAAACTTTGATTTACTATAGAAAAAACTTTGGAACTTTGATTTACTATGGTGAAATCTTTGGAACTATAATTAACTATAGTTTACTATAGTAAGTTTTTGTAAGGGTGCACGGAAGATATGAACGATCGGCAGGGGATGCTCATTCCTCCTTTGCACCTGATCCCATCTGTCATGTTTAAGAGGTCCGTGTTCCTTCTGCTCCAAAAATAATTGCATTTAAGAAATAACTAACAAGTTTATTAACTTCAATGCGAATTGAAGTGAATCAATCACGTGATCATATCCTGTGAAGGCCGAAGGCCTTTTTAAAAGATTTGATCACGTACCGACCCACTTCAATTCCCATTGAAGTTTATAAACTTGTTATTTATTACTTATATATACATTTGAGACAGACGATTAAATATTTTCGAATATAAATTATTGCACTAACCGTCCGTCGTAAATTTTGAAAAATGATAGGTGTAAATCGGCTTGAATGGCGGTTACGCTTCGAATTCATTACTGACATTGGACTAAGGATTTTATTTCTAAGGGTTTTTTTGTGAGAGGCTACTTGTGATCAGTAATAGTGAACAGATAGTTGTCCATGAATATGTCTATTCGTGAAAATTGATAATCAATGCCGAAAAGACACAAGAAACACGTCTAAAGATCGATGATAAAAAGTTTGAGGAATTTTGGTCGCCAGAAAGGGATGGACGATCCGATAGATGGAAACACTTGACCGTGTCAGTTTATTTGCAACTAAGTATTTCAGATCAAACACTATTAACCAACGATTTCAATAACTGAAGGCATATATATCATGTACATTTATGATGTAAACAAACCACGGTGACACTAGCAAAAGCTTACATTGAACTACGACAGCGCCGAGGTGTTTATCAGCTGTTTGTGGCGTGATTGCAATGCTTTGATATTTTTCAACAGATTTACACATTTATCGTGCGTAGAATTTGATGAAAAAATTATAATTTATCGTGAAGATTTAACTAAAAGTCTTCCCCAAAAATGTTAGAGAATGTACATCTGAAAAAAGGACATAAAACTTTTAAAAAGAAAAGCTAGTTTCTATCGGTGTATTCTCCAAGTATACAGGTTAAATCGATAGCCCAAAACTATGTGAAATACTTGTTAACGTTGTAAAACAAGAGGCCCAGGGGCCACAGCGCTCACCTGAGCACATCAGGCTTGAATTTAATCCCCCCTCCAGGCGTTCATCATTTGAACAAAATACAATCTACACTACCTGAGGATGATTCCATATATATATATCACTAATCATAGCTTTGAAATACTTGAAAAGAAGATTTTAAAAGGTTTCCCTATACATTGTAAAACTAGGGTCGGCCATTTTGGTCCCACCCTTGCCCCGGGGATCCTGATTTGAACAAACTTGAATCTACACTACCTGAGGATGATTCCACATAAGTTTCATCTTTCCTGGCCCAGTGGTTCTGGAGAAGAAGATTTTTAAAGATTTTTAAAGATTTTTCCTACATGTATATATTCCTATGTAAAACTTGGGTCGGCCATTTTGGCCCCACCCTTGCCCCGGGGGTCATGATTTAAACAAACTTGAATCTACACTACCTGAGGATGATTCCACCTGAGTTTCGTCTTTCCTGGCCCAGTGGTTCTGGAGAAGAAGATTTTTAAAGATTTTTCCTATATATTCCTATGTAAAACTTGGGTCGGCCATTTTGGCCCCACCCTTGCCCCGGGGGTCATGATTTGAACAAACTTGAATCTACACTACCTGAGGATGATTCCACCTGAGTTTCACCTTTCCTGGCCTAGTTGTTCTGGAGAAGAAGATTTTTAAAGATTTTTCCTATATTCCTATGTAAAACTAGGGTCGGCCTTTTTGGCCCCACCCTTGCCCCGGGGGTCATGATTTGAACAAACTTGAACCTACACTACCTGAGGATGATTCCACATGAGTTTCATCTTTCCTGGCCTAGTTGTTCTGGAGAAGAAGATTTTTAAAGATTTTTCCTATATATTCCTATTTAAATCTTGGGTCGGCCATTTTGGCCTCACCCTTGCCCCGGGGGTCATGATTTGAACAAATTTGAATCTACACTACCTGAGGATGATTCCACATGAGTTTCATCTTTCCTGGCCCAGCGGTTCTGGAGAAGAAGATTTTTTAAAAATGCCATTAATTTTTAACAAATTCATGATTATCTCCCCTTGGAAAAGTGCGTGGCCCTTCATTTGAACAAACTTGAATCCCCTTCACCCAAGGATGCTTTGTGCCAAGTTTGGTTGAAATTGGACCAGTGGTTCTTGAGAAGAAGTCGAAAATGTGAAAAGTTTACAGACAGACGGACAGACAGACGGACAGACGGACGCCGGACAAATTGTGATCAGAAAAGCTCACTTGAGCCTTCGGCTCAGGTGAGCTAAAAAATAATTATTATTTTCCTAGCACATATTTTTCTTATTTTTATACGTGAAAAGCAAGAATAGAGCAAGTCATTTTATGTTTATGCACCGGTAGATATTAATGCGCCGTGTGATTAGGTCATGTATTGACCTATGACCTCGGACAAACTTCATACCAAATTGAAGATATTTGCTCTCCGTATGTTTATATAATAGAGAGATACCACAAATGTATATATTGTTTTATGAACTTTGATATTGAATACCATTCGTTATCTTCATATAATTCACTATAGAAGATTATTATGCATACCTTTTTTGATATCAGTAAATTCATACATCCTGCCTCCTCGTGTGGCCAAGAGTAAAGATACATTTGTAAGGTTTTCCATAGAAAAACGTCGATTTTTTAAATTAGTAAAATTTCTATTATTATTGCAATATTTTTGCAATAATTTTTTAAAGCTGACTGGTTTAATCCACCAAAATTTAAAAACATCAGAACTAAAATCAAAACATTCAGTTCCATTTGAAGAACTAAGCAATTTTTCTCTTCTAGAAGACGTGTTTGTTTTAGATTGCCAATTATATTGTAAATAATTTACAACTGACATTATTGGAGTGAAAAATACATAATCCGCAATCCACTCCCCTCTTTGGTCATTCATTAGGTACATCCAAGAAATTTCCTCTCCAGTATTATGTTTTTCAGATCCACTATGATTAGTAAATCCCTGTTTCCACATATTACTGTCCCTTTTGTAATTGGTGGTAAATGTTTCATTTCTTTGCCTATATTTTTGTAAAAAGTCGTTGATTGATATTATCAGCAATTTGTGGAATTCCTTTGGAAGAGAAAGTGCAAATGTATGATCTGCAATAGAAATTAAATATTAGAAAAAGACTTCAGCATTTTCAATGTACATAAAAAATCTAAATATTTCATACACAATTTACAAAATATATTAATGGGGTTCACCAATGCATGCATACTCTATATATTCTATATTCTTTGAAGGCACCAATTTGTCATGGGAATTTTAAATATAGGGAGATTTGAGATTTTTGTATTGACACACATGTATTCTATTTTAATGCAGTCTCCCGCATAGTGTAGTGGTTTGGGCATCTTCTCTAGAGTTGCAAAGAAAAAAGTTGATTTTTTCGTCGAACCTTCGAATCCCACTGTGGAACGTGAGACTAGTCCTTCGGCTGAGACAAATTGATGTACAGTGTTGCAGTAGATGCCGGCACAAAATGACCCCTCAATGCTTTATTGCCCTAAGTGCCGAGTAAGGGACAAAATTTGTAGATCTTAACAGGCAAGTGGTGGCGTCCCCATATGAGTAAAAATTTTCGAGAAGGTTGTTAATCAATCAATCAATCTTTTCTGCACCTTTGTTGTAAAATTTTGAACAATTGCAAGTACACCAAAAAAATACTATGGTTAACTATAGTAAACTATAGTTAACTATAGTAAATCAAAGTGTCAAAGTTTTCGTCAAAGTTTTTCAAAGTGTCAAAGTTTTCGCGAAAGTTTTTCAAAGTGTCAAAGTTTTCGCCAAAGTTTTTCAAAGTGTCAAAGTTTTCGTCAAAGTTTTTTAAAGTGTCAAAGTTTTCGCCAAAGTTTTTCAAAGGGTCAAAGTTTTCGCCAAAGTTTTTCAAAGTGTCAAAGTTTTTGTCAAAGTTTTTCAAAATGTCAAAGTTTTCATCAAAGTTTTTCACAGTGTCAAAGTTTTCGTCAAAGTTTTTCAAAGTGCCAAAGTTTTTGCCAAAGTTTATAAAGTGTCAAAGTTTTCACCAAAATTTTTCAAAGTGTCAAAGTTTTCGATAAAGCTTTTCAAAGTATCAAACTTTTTGATAAAGTTTTTCAAAGCATCCAAGTTTTTGATAAAGTTTTTTAAATTTTCAAAGTTTTCGATAAAGTTTTTAAAGTGTCAAAGTTTTTGATAAAGTTTCTCAAAGAATCAAAGTTCTCCGAAGTGTTACAGTATCCAAGTTTTCAACAAAGTTTTTCAAAGTGTTAAATTTTTGGATAAAGTTTTTCAAAGCATCCAAGTTTTCGATTAAGTTTTACAAAGTATCAAAGACTTTGATAATGTTTTTCAAAGTGTCAAAGTTTTTGATAAAGTTTCTCAAAGAATCAAAGTTTTCGATAAAGTTTTTTAACGTGTCAAAGTTTTCAATAAACTTTTTCAAAGTTTTAAAGCATCCAAGTTTCCGATAAAGTTTTTCGAAGTATCCAAGTTTTCGATAAAGTTTTTTGAAGTATCAAAGTTTTCGATAAAGTTTTTCAAAGTATCCAAATTTTAGATAAAGATTTTTGAAGAATCAAAGTTTTTGATAAAGTTTTTCAAAGTATCCAAATTTTCGATACAGTTTTTTGAAGTATCAAAGTTTTCGATAAAGTTTTTCAAAGTGTCAAAGTTTTCGCCAAAATTTTTCAAAGTGTCAAAGTTTTCGCCAAAGTTTTTCAAAGTGTCAAAGTTTTCGCCAAAGTTTTTCAAAGTGTCAAAGTTTTCGCCAAAGTTTTTCAAAGTGTCAAAGTTTTCGCCAAAGTTTTTCAAAGTGTCAAAGTTTTCGTCAAAGTTTTTCAAAGTGTCAAAGTTTTCGTCAAAGTTTTTCAAAGTGTCAAAGTTTTTGCCAAAGTTTTTCAAAGTGTCAAAGTTTTCGTCAAAGTTTTTCAAAGTTTTTTAAAGTGTCAAAGTTTTCGCCAAAGTTTTTCAAAGTGTCAAAGTTTTTGCCAAAGTTTTTCAAAGTGTCAAAGTTTTCATCAAAGTTTTTCAAAGTGTCAAAGTTTTCGTCAAAGTTTTTCAAAGTGTCAAAGTTTTCGTCAAAGTTTTTCAAAGTGTGAAAGTTATCACTATAGTAAACCAAAGTTTTCAAAGTGTCAATGTTATCACTATAGTTAACTATAGTTAACTATAGTATTTTTTTGTTAGGGCAGACGAAACGAAACGTTCCTAAAACAATATATAATTTTTCCTAGGAATTTGTCATTGAAGTACAGATATGAAACAAGGTAGCTCATAAAAAAATTAGTATACCTTACCAGACATTTGGTAAAGATACCATAGGGTCATATTTCTTATATTACCCTCATGGATATCTTCTAAATGGTCTATTACACAATTTTGGTGAACCTATATTTAAAAACATTTTGAAAACAGTGTAGAAATCAGAAGAGAATGACAAATATGAAAAGTTTATAATACCAAGATATATAAAAATATATTGAGAAACGTGTCGTCTGACCCTAAGCAATAAAAATCATCTTTATTTCTGTGGTAACAACCATATCAAGAATTTGAAATATTTTTGTGAGTGGTTCAAAGAGAAAGCAGAATCAAGGTCAAAAATGATCCAAAGCGATGCCAAGGTCAAATATACCGTGAAGGCTTTCAAAATTATTATGAATATAAATAGTAAATAGGTGGAATGTAATGTTATGTAATGTAACTGTAATTGCTTTCACGAGAAATATCTAGTAATTTCAACCTTTCCAAATGCTCCCCTTACATCTCTTATCAATAATCCAGCAAAGCGTTAGAACACTTGTGTAAAACAAGTTCGTCGTTTCACTACAACTTTCTTGTTTAGTCAAAAGAAATGTACATACTTAGTAATATAATAGCGACGTCATAAATGATCAACGTGTTCAACCAATACATTATACCACTGAAACTTGAAAAAAAAAAAACATTTTATGAATTTAAAACTATTGCATCTTACCTTTTCATGCATCAGTCACGCATTCTCTACCTCATACACTTACAGGGAGAGATATGTAAAAATTCAAACTCGTCCTCCCTATACATGTATGATTTTAAAATGACATGAACAGCTTATTTCAATGTATATTGTACATAGATCTTTACATAGCGAATTTAAGATTCTCACATGATTATAACAGCATATCTGGATGTTAGAGTTCCACTTCTAGCACACACGATACATTAAATATCACATTTATTTGTGACAAACTTTGAACATCCATACTACAAATAGACACTTTTTACAGGGGGTGAAACTTTATGGGATGTCGACATTCATTGTTTTGATTTTTCATATAAAATTGAAGAAAAAAATTCATACAACTTACAGAATGGGGCCTAAAATTGTGAATTTTACTGTATTTATAATTGTGTAATACCACATAAGTGAATTGTCGAGGTTGCGCCGCCTGGAAATATCATTGCTTTCAAAAACGTTACAATTTATTTAAAAAATAATTAATGATGCATAGTTTATTATATAAATAAAAGGATGTTGCTTACTAAACGTTAAAAGATATATCTTAAGCAGTTTAATGTTATGGCGCTAGCCTACGAACTTTTCGATCAACCCTTGTATTCCCTGACATAATAAATATGCCCTTTACTTTTATGCTTGTAACGTGTTCTCTTCTTATATATACTGGATCCCTCAGTTACTTAACTGATATCGAGTCTCAAAAATAATACTTCAAAATAATTTCCTGTCAAAATATACAAATACAGCGAAACGAGTTCCTCTCGTATAAAATAGTAATGAGTACCTTTAATTACCTGACAAAACTTATCACTATAAAAATCGCTATAACAAATACTAACTAAGATATCCAAACTATATACAAAATAAGACTATTTAAAACATACTCAGCTAATTAGTAGAACCTTCCACTATTAAGATGAGACTCAACAGCTACATGTGATACTAAAGAAACTTTATCGCAGCCAGGAGGACCGCTCTTTATATTTCAGATATCTTCATGTCATAAAGAGAAATTTTTGGACAGGATTTATTTTCGTATCTAAAAACACAAGAAAAGGACAGGGCGGACCTTAAAACGCAGTTATCAGAAAAGGTCCGCCCTTTATATTTCAGATATCTTCATGTCATAAAGAGAAATTTCTAGACAGGGTTTATTTTCGTAGCTTAAAAACACGAAAAAGGACAGGGTGGACCTTAAAACGCAGTTATCAGAAAAGGTCCGCCATCTGTATTTCAGATATCTTTATGTTTTAAAGGGAAATTTTTGGACAGGGTTTATTTTCGTAGCTTAAAAACACGAGAAAGGGACAGGGCGGACCTTAAAACGCAGTTATCAGAAAAGGTCCGCCATCTGTATTTCAGATATCTTTATGTTTTAAAGGGAAATTTTTGGACATGGTTTATTTTCGTAGCTTAAAAACACGAGAAAGGGACAGGGCGGACCTTAAAACGCAGTTATCAGAAAAGGTCCGCCCTTTGTATATCTTATTACACAGCAAAATTATGGACGGGGCACATCTCTCTCATTAACAATAGAGAACGACGACAGACAACGGACAAATCGTGATGAGAAAAGCTCACTTAAGCTTTCGGCTGATGTGAGCTAAAGAGTAGCAGGGGGCGCTTAAAATTCACAAGAAGAAAGGGTCCGCCTTTTGTTTTGAAAAAAAAATAGACAATTGCTAACTTAATTTCCAACTACTGTCTATTGATAAGAACCGGAAAACATAAGAAAATACATTGACAGAAAAGACTGATTTATTGATTAAATGCTGCTTATCGTCGCTCTCGAGAATTTTTCACTCATATAGATACGCCACCACTTGCCGCCAGTGAGCTACAGATTTTGTCCTTTACTCGGCACTTACGGCCATTGAGTAGGGAGAGATCTTTTTCGTGCCAACACCTACTGCAACACGGGACCCTGGTTTATACGTTTTCATCCGAAGGACCGATTTCCACGTCCTAAAAAGGGATTCGAACCTGCGACGTAAGGATCAACTCCTTACTTCGACGCTCTAACCATGCACTCCATGTAATGCTATTGTTATGAATTTCATTTCTTTTTACTGTTTAAATTTGAATATATAAGCAAGGAATATACTTATAAAATCTACGCAA